TAGGAACTGAGAGGGAATTTGCATTCCCCAAAGGCTTTCTAAAAAACAACAAAAAGTAGCAGTGCCTTGCCTTGAATGTCCATTTATATCTAAAAGAACCAGAGGACAGAGAAAGACTGATGTGATGCAAGAAAGAAGAATGGACAGAAATGAAAAGAATGAATCAGGTAATGAGTGATAAAAGCAGAAGAGAGATGAAGAAAAGCTGGCATTAGTATAGAAGGAAACAGGAGCAAGAACTGGTCAGGGACACGAGTCAGAGCCAAGTGGCTTGAGACAGCAGGTAAGGGAAGAGACAAAAAGAAGTGTCCAAGGCAGAATGTAAGCAAAAGGCAAGTGGTCCTCAACATGTAGATAAATTTTCTGCTCCCGAATTTGTGTTCCAAACCTCTACAACTTTCACAGTCTTCAGTTTTTAGCAAGCAGTTATAAAAGGCACCTGTAAAATACAGATCTGATCTTTCTCAAGGAAATGACCTATCACCTTCTTCCTTCTCTTTGTTTTCTATAATTGTCCTCTGTGACCACAGAGGTCTCTACACTTCTGAGGTTCTTGGATCAGTTTTGTGTATGGACAGGTTCATAGGGCTACAAACTCAGACACACAAGGTGCTGCCTCACTGGACTAGAACTGTATGTGAATGCCTTTGCACTCAGCCTGATTGGAAATCACAAACTGTCCTGCTATGAGTTCCCCTTCAGAGAGGTGCCACTGTCACATGACAGATGGAATATATAGTACAAGAAACATGGAGAAGTTGGAGATCTCAGAGCAGCAAAATAACAGTAATTTCATCTGTAGTTTGCACAGTGAATGCAGAATGAAGACATCTCTTGAATGGGCCTTTTTATATGTAGTGGTATACATAAACACAGATTTATATAAACCATAGCCATTGTTGAAATTGAGGTACTGGGATAACCCTGAGGATTACAGTTTCCTAYAACTATGAAAAGAAAGTAAAAATTACTCATACATATTCATATATATAGATGAACACCGTACTCCAGCACTGTGCTATCTTGAGGTAACACAATCCTAGCAACAGAACCTTCAGAAGCTTTACTGTAAAACCACCTTTCAGTATGACTATCATTGGCTTTCATCTGCCTAGCTCGATCGTTAGACTGAAAGCCCTGCATGTAATGAAACAGTCCACATTACTCTGTCTATTTTGCAAAATAATCACAAAATTCCTTTTTTCTCCTTTCTCTTTTTTTTTTTTTTTTTTTTTTTTTTTTTTTTTTTTTTTTTTTCGTAATTTGGTGTAATGGAAACATTCAGACAATTAATTTAATGGCGACAATGTAAAAATTCACAAACTTATCATTTTATGCCCCACATTATCCCAGACAGGAGAAGGTTCAACACTGCATGAGCAAACCACATGACACAGACACAGTCAAATCACACAACAAATACGGTCACCACAGGACAAAGCTAAGAGGGGAGGGAGGGGGCAACACAGAGGGCTCAGGTGCATACCTCACACACTAAGGCACCAGACAGAGAACTCAAACTAAGAAAAATGCTTACTCTATTCCCCACCCTGTGCCTCCAAAAATCACCCCCAAGGCCAGAATGGTCCCTGCCACTGCACCTATTAGCCTGTTAGCAGCCATGCTCACTGTGTGGAGGGAAAAGGGAAGAATTTTTCAGGAAATCATCACATATATGTCTGAAACGAAAACATGAAACAATTCCTCAAAAGGAATACTTTATGATACAATCCACTGTTGGATAAACAATTCAAATCTCCTCACAAATCTTCGTTTACCAAATACTGTAGCTTTGAAAATGATGAAATTAGCTCTATTCGGTTTTCTTTGAATGCTTGCAAATATTTCAAGGAGAAGTTTTCCTGTAAATTCCTTTTAGCTCATGATTCTATTATTTGCTTTAAAAGGGAACATCCTCAACCTATTTAAAACAGCCAAAATGTAAATAAATCACCAATAAGAAAACTATTTTTGATCACCAGAAACTTACTGTATCCATAGTATAATTAAGACAATGAAAACTATTTGGAAACAATTCCACCTCAGGAAAAAACCAAAAAAAAAACCCTACTTTTAAATTCATTCCTTTGCTAAYTAGTAATATTTTCTTTATTACTGCATCTATTGACATGATTATCAGTTTACCTATACGACCTAAAAAAAGGTAACACCTTTTAAAACCAAAAGCCTATCCTAGAAACAGGCTTCAGATAACACCCTGGAAATTTTGAGATGTTCAGATAGTCTGTCTTAAGACAACAAGGCCTTCTTTTAAGGGAACCTTTTGAGGGAAAAAAAAACTATGTACAACTCCTATATTAGAGATTAAAAGCTTGATAGATTCATTAAGTAAGTCAAAATAGAACACACGCAAACAGCTGAATTCCCTGTCAAATGAGAACTTTTCCAGGGACAAAGATTTTATAGATTTCATGCTGAATGAAGTGTGTTTCAAAATATTTTGATAGGTTTTTCTCCTGTTTCATAAATAAACACACACAAACACCACACACACACACACACATACACTTGAGACTTAAGTTCTATATTAAAATAAACACCACTCTACTAGTCAAATAAAAGGCCTAATTCTGCAAATTAAATAGCAAATGAAGAATCTGGTGTGCATATGGAGTCCCACTGATTTGAAAACTACTAACTCATACCCTAAAGTAATTCAAAGTTTCTGCAGTAACCAAAAACTAAAAATAAGGACTCTGCCTTCCCCAAACTATTAAATGCTGTGCATATCTGCTAGTACAGGATACAGTAGGTTGCTGAGTTTAGAGTAATTCAAGAGTCATCTATTAATAGCAACATAATTAAGAACCACAATTTTTTTTATCCCAAAATAGAGAATGAAGCCAAAAAGCAATTGATGGATGATGGAAAATTCTGAAAAGTGCAGCAGAATAGCAGACAATTACCAATTATCACAACAATACATAAATAAATAGCAACACTTCCTAACTATACATGGTCTRATTGTAGCAAGAAAAATGCTTGGATTTTTGGTGAGAAAAATCTTAAACCTATTATATGAATTTTCACACCTAATTATTTCACATCATTCAAACTTATGGCCAAGGAAAAGCAAGTATTTTGGTTTCTGTCTTGGACTTGTAAACTGGCATATGACATAGGGATTAATAAGGGATAAAAACTTAATGGAAGCTACTTGAGAATGTTGGATTGTTGCAACAAAGTAAACTAGTAYTGTGCTCTTGCAAAATCTTCTCACACAGGAATTCCTCTATAAGCACACAGAAAGAGATCATAGAAGCTCTGTTAGTGTTCAGTCTCCTAAATTTGTTTCTAGGTGATGAAGCTTCAGTAAACTACTGTAACAACATAAGAAAAAGAATCCATMTTTTGAGAGCATTGAGCCACCTTGGACAAGAGTGGAGTTTGCCATTTTGCAGAGGACTCCATTGAAAAATGCAGTCTAAACTTTACCTGTACCTACTGGCAGAAATCCATGCACATTCAATTCATTTAAGGCTTTTTTCCCAGAATATTTCAATGTTGATATATTAATTTTCAAAAAGGTATATTCATTCTGAGATAGATTAATTAATCTGACTCACAGTAACGTGACAAAGATAAATATTATTGGATAATGCACCTTCTGTGTTGCCCTTCCTATAGACCTTTCCACAGAGGAGGGAATAATTTCTTACCKACCACATTTGAAAATGAACAAAGTAAAATTCATGTGTTCTCAGGGTCACATCTGTAAATCCTGTTCTCCTCACACACAAAGAACAGAACAGCTCTGTAGTGTTGGTCTCCATAATTTTTTTTCAAGATTTTGTAAGCAGCATTCCACAGTCAGGAAGGTTTTTAGGGGAAATGGAATGATAAGTAGCTTTGTAAGGCAGGGTAMAAAGCAGGCAGCTCTATACTGAATGCTGCTGGGATTGGATCCAGGAAGCACCTGTACAAATCTGGACTGGTCTAGAGAGCCTCTTTCACAACGATAACTTGTTTTAAGAAGATCTCTTCAACAGTTCTTGGCAAAGTCTACTGGAACCATTCTGCTAAGGGGTAACAGAAAAAGGCACACAAGACAGACRTAGAGCCTTTCTAGAGGGACATATCAAAATCCTGTCCTCCCTTGAAACCTTGAATCTTTGATAATAATCAGAGTCTGAGTCCTCAGGACTACATATTTTAAACAACTTTTATCTTTTCTCCATCTGCCTCACAAATGGGGCAGAAGAACATGGAACTGGGAACTTTATCTGTAAATGCATAGCACTGGATGAACACAGTCTAATGTTGAACATTGCCCTGATGACAGGAAAGACAAAAAAAACCTGGATAGCACAATCCAAAGATATTCTTTGGCAGAGAAGTCAGAGAGAAACTCAATACTTTCCTTCCTTCCTCTTTGAAAAACCTTTTTGATTATTTCCTCAATACTTCCTTTTGTTACTTAGACTTCATATGTAGTTGAAATACCTACTAACTACATAAGAACAAGCAACAATATAAGAATAATTTAAGTTCTYAAAAATCTTCATTTATTTCTTTATTCCTTTCATTGCAATATGATTTCCAGGAATTTGACTTTACCAGGGAGATATCACTTTTCCCTTCTTTATGCTACAGATCTCTGAATTAGCTGAGAAAACTAAGAAAACTGAAAATCTCTAGCAAAATAWAAACATTCAATTATCATATAAATAATAAGAGCTACACTAAGTCAGATTCCAATCACAGTGAAAATTATCATGAAAAAATAGAGAATAAGGGATGAAGGAAAAGACATTACTTGTTGAAATCTTCCCCAAACYTATGTTAGAAAAGTAAAAGTTTCATCAATTCTTGAAGTAGAAAAACCTACTTCCTCTCCATGAAGCAGAATTTTACTGTCTGGGTCTAAACACAGCTGTACAATAGTATTTGCTTTTTAGACGCTAATTCTGCCACCACATATCTACAGAAAAATGTCATAAATATTTAAAAGCACATCAAAACTGAAACAAAACACAAACCCTTGGGTCCTTCATCCTTCTTGCCACCAGTATCCCTGACAGGATCATCAATGCTGCAGTCTGTCCCAGCCCAGGAGAAATTRCAAATGCAAGTGGCTTCATTACTACAAACCTGTAGAAGAAAATAAGTGACAGCACTTAGTTTTAAACCCCATTTTATTAACATGTCACACTAGATTTATTTAAYATGTACTTAGATACTTAATTCATGGCATAAAAATGTACCTATTTATATATTGTAACAATAGCACCGAATGTTTGGAATTATATAACACACCTGGAAATTTGCTTTAATCCTCTTAATWCTCTCACATGCTGGCAGAAGAACTGGTTCCTATCATCACTGGCACTACACACATGCACAGGCTGTGAAAAATAGTWGCAATTCATCTAGACTAGTTAGATCTTCACTAGCCAGCTATCTAGACTTWGGGCCTGGATGCCCAGAAGGGATACAAACATTTGCCTTTGAAAATGTTCAAGGCATGGTTACACTTTACAACCTCTCATTTACACCTTCCTTGCTCCCAAGTAGAACAAGTCAATATATTTTCCTTGGTTTTACTGGCATTTTTTCTAAGCAGCAATGAGGAATGCTTGTCTGGCTTCTAAAARAGAGGGAACAGTTCTTCCTATTTTTCCATGAATGATCTCTAAAAAAGGGCTTAGCACTCTAAAATTGGCTGTATTTTTATTAGATACAGGAAAACCTATCCAATGGACAAAACATAAACCCTGAAATCAAKAGTTAATAGCTATAAACTTTCCATATGAAAAACAACACGCAATGGTGTTACTAGAAGAGGTTACTGTGGGAAAATGCATGACTTGAGARAGAGACAAAGAATGAAGTTGTTATTATAGGACTAGAAAACAAGTAAATCATTGGCCAAACAGCTAATAATGTCTTTTGGACACTGGAACATAATGTGAAAAAATCCCCRGAAAACAACCTACCCACACATAGTTCTAAGTAGCACATGTGATTTTTTAATTCAACTTTTATCATACTTCCTGGTTGTAAGATGCACTCACTGAAAAATCTTACCTAAGAAGTTGAAGATAAACACATCTTGTGGCAGGTTTGATTAACTGAAATACCCTTAGGTAACCCAGTTCACTCACCTTTCATGTCACTCTTGAAAAGTACCAAGAAGAGTTCTAATCTCCTAGATACTTTATTTTCCAATTTTAAAAATTTCTTCTTGATTTTGAAATACTGAATTYCATATTCAAGTACAGACARCAAGAAGAAATARCCCCCTTCTTGTATAAAGTCTAGCYCCTTAGGCAAATATTTGCCTCACTGAATCCCACAGTGGAAAGGTTGTGTTGGTATTTAAAATAGTGAATTGGTTCCTCAAAGCAGACCTAACATTTAGAGAAATGAACTTATGGGTAGAATAACAGAACATGATGTGCCTGAATGTAAAATGATACACTTTGCATCTGTTCAAGGACTTATTGGAACTGTTCAAGAACTCCTCCTCTGCTGAGGACCCACATCTTAGARTTTTAKTTATTTAAGCCATGGGCTATAAATYGATGAACACAAAATCAACTTTATAAAGGTGTTAGTGTGCAGGAAAAAATCTAACTGAAGATAGCAAGTAGCTTGAAATATGAGTAGTATATTACAGAAGTCTTTATAATAACTAACGTGAAAAGTCTTTCTTACTTGTAACAAACCCAACACTTGGGATATAATTGCAGAACCAATTTGACAATTTTCCTTTCAAAAATTGTATCTGTGCATCACAAAATGGCARTCTTCCCCTGACTTGAACATTTGTAGTTTAGATCAACAGGTCTTAGAAAGATTTTCAGGTGTTAGGATCAGGTAGAGCAGAGAGAGACTCARGACAGACTCACCCCATGACCAGAACAGACTTTTCCATTGGATCCAATGGGACAGCTGCTTATGTTCAAGGACTGAATTGGCAGGCACTTTTTGTCCAGACACATCATCTGAGGTCCACATGGAGCTCCATCCTCCACGTAACCTAGATCTGTATCATCATCTAAAAGAACATGAGCACCACTAGGAAAAATAAGTTTTAAGATAGTATTAGTAATATAACTGGAGTATTTAGAAAATATTAAAAATATGTCATTATAGATAGTAAAAGCCTCACATCTTTCTTTCATTTAAGCATTCAGACAGACTGAACAAAACTGTAGAGTTTTTCTGTCCATCCACAGCAATGACAATGCATTCCAATTGTCAAAATAAAAAGAAATCTAGATAAGGACATAAGGACTTAAATACTCAAGAAGGGCATGTTAGGCTTTGGGGTATTTTAAGCCTGTGACAGATGATGCTTTTTTTTTTCTTCCCTTCCTTTTTTCCCCCCAAATGCTGTGAAATACTATTACTAGAAAAAAAATATTAATAACCAACTTCTCAAGTGATTTAAATAATAACACTATTGGAACTAGTAATAACTAGTGGAATAATGGAAGAATAAAGAATCACTGTTCACTCAGAACCCAGCTATGTAAGAGTGTGTTCTTAATGTGACAGCAATGTTGCCAATGTCTTTAAAATACARCCCCAGTATTGTGCACAGACTAGGATTGCAGCAGACTGAAACTCATTTGCCTGTCCTTCACTACTGAGCTGCAGCTGAACATCTCACCATGCCACAACTCTGCAGTTTCCTCCCTCTCAGCCTTCACTTCACTACAGCTATTTCTCTGAGTACTTAATACTCAAAATCATCATATTTAAAATACTGGTCTACAGCAATGGACTTTCTCCACGCCCAGAGTATTTAGCTCTGACTGTGGACTTCTGCTATTGAAGGGATCAGGTAGAAGATTCAGGAGGATAATCCACATTTCTTTAAATGTGGACTATTGTGCTTTCTTTGTTTTTGTTTTTGGTTTTTTTTTTTAATCAAAAGAAATACTACTCGGAATAATGATTTTGCTGCAATTACCTAAAATTATGAGAATCTTACATTTATGTCTATCTTAATTCAATTATATTTGGACAAGAAAAATCATTTTGGAATACTGCATTATCTTTTACCTGCAGTCCACTATGCGTCCTTGATGATAAAAAGAATTTGGGATAATTTCTCCTTGAACTTGGCCAACTCGTGGAACTCTAGTAAGATTAGTACAGAGCAAAAAGCCACAGAAAACATCACTGGAAAATGAAAACATAAAKCAAAATATTACTGGAATAATATGAGGTAAACTTACAAAATAGAAAGTCTGACAACGATGCTGCTTATCCCAGTAATATATTACCATAAGCCACATGATACACTTGGAGAGTACAAGCCTGGAAATAAAATACTATTTTATTTAAATGACAAGAGGCAGAAATAAGTCATCATTCTAAAGCAGCTGTGAATGTTCACATGAACAGTAGAATGTATTTGTGCYCTAAGAACAATGCAGTACAAGTAAGAGGAGCCAAGCTTTACAAAGTTTTGTCATGTTTGGCTAAATTGCTTTCCCCTCTCTCTGGCAGCTTACACTCCATATGTTAATGTCAAGCTTGAAATTTTAATTGAATTTTATTTCCCTTGCAGGACAACAGAACCATAACAATTGTTAGTGTGCAATTGTGTTCGCCCAAATTTTGGTAAAGAATCTGCTTCATTTTATGTTATTTTATAGCTACRTATATTTAAATATATTTTATATAAGACATGCAAGATTTATTTTACATCTTCAGTAGAAGGATATCAGCTAATACTAATTGTCCTAAGTCACAGAAGCAGCTGGATGAATGCTGGAAATTGACTTTGTTAAAACTGAAAAAAAATATAAATAGCCCTTCAGCTAGATCATTGTCCTGCATCTCTCTACCAACAATGTAAAGCTTTTATAGAAATGAGGGACTTAACATACACAACACTATCAACATTTAAATAAAAAAAAAAACAAACTAAACAACTCCTTATGATCCTATTTGAAAACTAATATTAAAAAAACCTCTATACAAGCATAAAATAGTCAAAGGCAATCACTATTCAGAAACTGAAATTTGTATGKACCTAATTAAAAATTACAAAACAATAAGTAAATCAGGAGAAATTTAAGTCTATCCACTAAYCATCATTAACTTGAAAATTAAATTTAATCAAATATTAATCTAGTAATGATCACATGCAAATSAATCAGGCCTTTTCTCTATAGCATCCAAGTGTCTAATGGTCATTTCTGGTCAAAATAAAGGCTGGAACAAACTTGAAACAGCATAATCTGGTGTCAATCCCAGAGCAAGTGAACAGAGTKTGTATTTGCAGTCTAATTTATCCCTGCCAACTCTGAGGTGTTTCTATGAACTTGTAATTTTTTGTTGTCTTATCCCTCAGCTCCTCTGAAATAATTAAAGTCACAGTATATTCTTCTGAAAATCTGGAATTCTTTACAAGTGTATTGCTGAGTCACTCATGGATTTGTCAGAGTGGAACTTTTTCAAGATGCAAACCTTGTGAGGGAAAGAAGATTCAAAATAATGCAAAACAAATTGCAGAAACATGAATGAAAAAGTAGAAAAAGCAGACAATATTAAACCATTACCAATCTATTTAAATTACAAATAATCTCTACCAAACTGAACTTACTGTTTGCTGCACTGAATCCATCGGTCTCCATCCTTTCCACAGTTTCCTTTTGTTGTGCCTTCTGTATTAAGCTTTTCATAACAAAATTTGTCAGATCCTGAAGACTCTGTTGATGAAGAAAAAAAGAAACATGCTTTCCACTGGCAATATGACAGCTTTGAAACCTCCATAATTTATGGCAGCAGCTCTCTGTAACTTTTTAATTCAAAACATCAATCTAAACATGTGTKTAAGCACAGATGGTATTTTCCAGTGACTACAAGGGAGAACAGGCTAAACTRAAATACCTACTGATATGTTCAAAATTTGCTCTGAACTTTAAAAAAAAAATAACCTCCACAATGTATTGTATTTTGCAGGTGAAATTTATCTGTCGTCTAAATTTTGTTCCCGTCATAATAGTTGCAGATGGATTTAATCTAGTTTGTTTTCACTACATATTACTGAGCTGCATTTCTGAAGATTTTATATATGACATTTATGATAAGCATATGTTCTGACATCAACACAATGTTTATTTTATTCTATTTTTCAGATGTTCACAGGAAATCAAACTTGAACAGCCAAAGTGTGATTTCTACTTATTTTTAGGARTAAAATTCTGAACAAATAGGTTTTGAACCCATAATTATTTACTAATGAGCTCATTTGGTTTTTTTCCTAATAATTAATTTTGAAAAAAGAAAAAAGCATAAGAATTATATAGAGGAAGATAAAACAATAAGGCAGAGTGGCCCCAGTGGCACTTGTGATTAGGCATAATGCACAAGAATGCACTAAATGCCAGAGTACAGGACGTCCTGGTAGTCCTACTCTGCTGAATTGTCTCAAAGTCATTACACAGAACATTCAGCCCCTCTCTGCTGCAAGCAAAGCCCATTGCAATTGCAAATCTATTTTACTCAACACCTCTGGACTTAAATTCATACTATGCATATTTAAATTTCCACCAATGTACTAAATTTCCTGAGCTGGATGATCGTATAGGAAGGAGAGGCAAGGTGGAGGAGCTTTAGCGTGGACGACTAGCTGGCATAATGGAATTAATGACTGTCATAAAAAAACCCCAAACCATCTGTTTTTGAACTATATCTAAAAAAACCCTCAACCCCCTCCCCTCCAGGAGCATTTGCTGCCCTACCYACATCTGCAGCCACATCATACCCAAAGATCTCACTGACACCACTCCCAGACTCAGAATTTCACTTGGCAATCAAACCAGTTTCCCATTGCAGTCTACTAACTCTACTGACCAGAAAACTTTGACAAGAACAAAATATTAAAATACTAAAAATATTAAAAAAAAAGGCAGGAATGAACTGGAAATAGAACACATTTAAGGTAGTTAAAATCAACCTACTAGATCCCCAGATATATTTGCACTGATTATCTCTTGTCTTGCATTCACCATTATAGCAACGACCCTAAACAAAACACAACATGTTAGCAGTGAGAACTGAAAACAACTTCATCTCCTTCCCCTCCCACAACAAATGTCTCATTTTCACTCTTCACACATATGTTGRTATGTATAATAGTTTCCATGAATTTGGGTAAATGGAGAATATGTTTTTGCCCAGATTCCCAAAGCCAGTTTGTGTCCCATACATACTGACATTTAAGCAGTTGCTTCATACCTTTACATAATTGTAAAGAACTTWTTAACATGGAGTGTAATAAAGATCTACATATAAAATGTAGAAATACCAAGTGGATTTCACTCAAAGTAGAAATTATTACTATTCATACAGTGCATAAAGCACAAGCAATATTTGATGTCTAAAGGATAAAATTTATGACAAAATATAGAATACAGGATTTTAAAAAATCAACAACAAAACAAAACAAGAATCTGTATTTGGTTGATTTCTATTTGCTGATGTGCAGGGATTTAAAAACACTGCATACCTGATTAGAATCACAGGCATACCCATCTTGTTTATGWAGATTTGGTGGACACTGAAAAAAAGGAAGATTCTTTTTTGTCATGTCTACAGTAATAATACACCAGACTATCACATATGGAATTCTCCTGCTTTCATGACAATTTCACAAAATATAAAAGTGGTTGAAAACATCAGTTAGTGCAATAATCTTTATAGCTACAAAGGGAAATAAAAAAATTAACATATTGAGCCCTGAAATAGAAGGTTCAAATCTAWCTTGCTGCATATTCCAAGTTGAAATTAAGGAGGTCAGGCAAAATGAAAACCAGCGTGTTCCATATGATGATATTGGTAGCTAATACTGGGGTCACGTTTGCAACACTGTCATCACATGCATTTGAGTTCCACTACAACAGTGAGGGAGCACCTGGTCACAGCCTGCCAGTCTATTGCTTACAGAGCTTCAGGGGGTTTTATCATGTTAACTGTTATGTTCTCTTGGTACAGGAAATGTCTTAGGTACAAACAAGTCATTCAGTCCAGAAGTCTCTGATTACTAACATAAGGAGCAGACCATTCTCAAGGTTTTTCCTCATCCGAAAGGGACCTGTGAAAGTTTGGAAAGGGGCTGCTGCACTGTACTGTGTTAGCCACTACGCTGAGGGCAGCCTTTCTGGCTTGAGAAAGCCCTTCTCCCTCTCATTAAGAATGCTCCATCTACAGAGCGAAAGATTTGCAATAAAATATTGGCAAATAGTATGTGTTATGTCTCAGGTGAGAAAAGGAAGTTATTGTTAATTTATTGGCATTTATAATTACAGCCAATGCCCAAAGAGATTGTGATCTATCCTGAATCTCATTCCTTCAAAACTAAAAACTGAATGCAGTACATGACTGCATCAGTTACAAAAGTCTTATATAAACTAGAAGTTTCTATAAATTGAATAAATATATAAACAGTCAGTATTGAAAAAGAGCATATATCACCTAAAACATCAAAGTTGCTGTGAAAATGGAAAATGTACAGAAGGTTGACTATTTAAAATAACCAAAATTACATGTACACACTCTTAGAAAACATAACACACTTTATACAAGTCTCATGAGGAGTGATTGAGGGTTCTGGGTTTGTTTAGCCTGGAGAAGAGGAGGCTTAGCTGRGGACCTTCTCTACAACTCCCTGAAGGAGGGTGTGGAGAGGTAGAGGCCGGCCTCTTCTGCTCAGGTAACAAATGACAGGTTGAGAGGAAATGGCCTTMAGCTGTGCCAGGGAAGGTTTAGATTGGATATTAGGAAAAATTCCTTCACCAAAGAGGTTGTCAAGCATTGGAACAGGATGCCCAGAGACATGGTGAAATCACCATCTCTGGAGGTATTTAAAAGACATGTAAATATGGCATTTAGGGACATGGTTTAGTAGTGAAGTTGGTAGTGCTGGGTTAATGGTTGCACTCAATCAAAAAGGTCTTTTCCAACCTAAATGATTCTATGTTTCTATACTCCRTTAGTTGTAATTTTCTACAGTTACATTTTAAGCTATTTTATTTCATAAAAACTTAGTGGTACCCTTTGAATACATTCACATTTGCAGTGTATTCTTACTATTTAAGTTATAGATCAGGCAAAGATTAAAGAAGAATGCCTGACACAAATATTATATACAAAACCCCAAAAGTTATAGAAACCAAATAAACCTAGAYAAGTCATATTTTGAGTCCACTTAGATTATTTTTTTCATGAGTTTACAATAGTTTTTACTCCATTACTATGCCATTATTTTGGGCATATCACTGTGCAGTTTGTTAATACAATTTTCCTGTTAAGCAAATAYGAAAAAAAGAGTGCACACAAACATCAAAGGTACAAGCAGAGAAAGTTTCTGCACACATACCTGTCCAGAATCCCCAGTGCAGAACTCTGCAATGTCACACTCATTCACTGCATAGCGACAGTCATAACCTCGTGGAAAAAACTAGAAAAYGAAAAATATAGCTCAGGACTCAGGTTATATCTACATAAACTGCTCCTTTTCCTTCTACCTAAAACATACTTTGAACTTTAACAGGCTGCACATGATTTCCATGGACAACTGARAAGAACAACAATATGGCAGCAACACTCACAAGACATGATGTATTACAGCAGGGTCCATCACTACAGTGAGCTCCGTTAGAAAGAGAGCACTTCTTACAGCAGTCTGCATAGCATTCCTGAGGAAAACATGAAGCAAAAGGTTTAGTTTTCCAYTTTAGACTAGGTTTTTTTCTTCACAATAATAAACTATTACATAACAGCAGTCAAAAGATTCAGTTTATCACTGAGGATCTGAAATTGTCAGCTGAAGAGCCCTTTGCAACATTCAAATACTAGAGGGAAAACAGTGACATACAGTGCTATAGCAACACTGGGATTCACATCTTCTGAAGTCTGTGCCAAACACATGCTGCTTAGTTAAATTGTATTCAATGTAGAAAAAACTCTCAACCTAATTACAACAGGTGCAATTATATTTTTAAACTMGGACTAAAATCTAGAGGGCAGATTTTTGCAAAAACAATGGAATATTWCTGTACTAGAGAAGAAAACAGTTTACTTGTTTGGTCTGAACACAGGCCCCTATCWCCAAAGCATCAGTAAGGAGTCTCCCACTCCAGACACACTATCCAGGAAAAGCAAAGGAGTAAGCACTTCTCCAGTGCAACTCAAAAACTTCTGGGGAACAGCTGTATCTTATCATTGGTATAATGGGAACTGTTCTGAGGACACTGTCTTTGTACTCATTGTCATTTGAAAAAATGTTTTAACACCCTTTAATGAAATTGTTCCCAAACAACAGGCAAAATAAATTCAACTAATTCATTTCTATAACCTTTCCCTCCTCCATTACCTTAAAATCACTTAATTTATCTTAATATATTTTTGTAATAAATACTTGTGGAGTAATACACAATTCTACTTGCCATTCGAAAACCACAATCACATTCTTCTCCTGCTTCTACATATCCATTTCCACACTCGGTGGCTTCAAAGAGCTGAAAGAAAAAAGTCCCCATCCCAAAGTAAGAACAAAACTAGTGTCAAGTGACTTTTGTGTCACACACAACCCATTTCTGCTATACTACACAAATGCGCTGTCCCAGACAATGCACGTGCCGTGCCTCAGTAATGGAAAGGCAGCGTAGTTTTCAAGTGCTGCTCAGCAGAAATTTTCAAACCTGAAAGCTGTACAGCTAAATCACAGGAATGCTGGTCAACTTTAGGAGGACACTGGTCTCAGAAAACTATGAGAAGTAGAGAGACACTATAATAATATTTAAGGGGATGACACTTGAATTTCTTTCCTGTTCCATGGACTCCCAGTTCTCAGATAATTCTTTCAAGAAACCAGTTCACAGTATCATTCCTGGAATCTACTCAGGTACCAACACTTGCTGATACAATGGACTACTGCCTATTCCTTTGTAACATTTGTGCATGAAAATAATAAACATTAAGAAATACTGCCAAAAGGAAGTTCTGTGTGCCTTATTAGTAAGTTATACACAACCACATACAGATAGTACTAAACAGCTAATCCTAAAACCAGACACATACAATACAGATAAATCCTGCAGTTCAGGATGATGTCGATTCCATACTGGTTTCACATATAATTTTGATTAAAGAWATTTTTCAGTCTTGTCACAGAAATAATTTTGAAAAAAGCTTGCCTGTTTTCAATATAATTCTGCCTTGAAATCATATAAGAATATCAGGAATGTCTAATTTGACTGGGATATTAGCATCAGAAACACATTCACTAGAACATGATTGAAATGAGAAGTTAAAAGTTAACAACTTAAAATGTGAACAGATAAATCTAAGGATGAAAGACATGAGCAAATCTATCTGCATGGGCTTAGTGGAAATAAAGATGTTGAGGATCAAGAAGATATGAAAAACAATACATAATACAATACAAATTATATATAACTTGGATGGAATTCTGCTTTAGTACTTTTGGGTGGAGGGGGGAGGAATCATAACGCCTAATAAAAAATAAATAAAACATTTCACTCTTGTTGTATAAACCACATAGATAATCAGTAGCACCTACAATTCGGGATGCCAGAAACAAAACAATACTGAAGAAATATTCATATGTGCTCTTCTTTGCTAGCAATGTTGACATGATCAAAGAAACCACTTAATTTCTCCTTTTTTCTCCCCTCTATAAGTTACTGTTTCTACTTTGGTGCAAACAGCAAGATTTCTTAGTCTTGAAACAAAAAWTCAGTCCTCTATCAAGAAAATTACAGAACACAAGAAGGCACACAGAAATTTCCTATGGCAATCAGGAACCATCTAATGCTCATATACATGTCACAGCACAACTCAGGTTATTATTTTAAAAATGGCATCACAGAAACTGCTTAACGACTCTGTTCCACCTACATGAGGATAAAACATACTTTCCTACCTTACTTCCTAACCTCCAAATAACAGGATTCTAAACACTCAATGATTATTTTTCCCCCTCAAGTACTTCAAAGGTGTGAAATACTGAAACAGATAATATAAAAAGATAATTCAACCATTTCCTGGGACCATTTTCCCCAAAGTAAATCCGATTTTTATTCTGTATAGAGTCAAGTTTACAACTTCTTCACATTACTTTGCCTGATATCTATAATTAAAAACAGAAGTTGTGTTTTCCTATTTCTACTTACTCCTTTTTGTAAGAATTCTTGCATTTTTATTCTATGAGCAAAGATTGCTACCCTGAGAAAAAAAAAATTCAAAACCACTTGAACAAGCAAAATTTTTTTTAGTTAATTGTGCAAGGTGATGGTCTACCAAAGGGTACAGCACAGTAAAYAGAACAGCCTAATAACCTCCTATGGTATTAAATTCTACAAGGACAGCAAGTTTGACATTATGATTAAATAGAATACTTTGATTGCTCTTACTTGGCAAAAAGAGCCACATGGAATATTTTTATACTATTCAGCTTTAGAAGGATGCAAYGCAAACATTGTCTTAGAAAAAAATAGCACCTTGGTAAGTTTTAGGTAAATAAAGCAATGAATGGTACAGGGAAACAGCTATGAATTATAGAGTTTGCTAGATGTACATTTGAAATTAAATTAAGTTAACTTTGAGAACAACCAAAGCTTACTACTATCTATATTAAATCAGCTATGGATTTTTATTTCCTAATGTGGTAATTTGCATTCTTTTTAATAACCTCAGACACTAAGTCCAAGAATTGAATGTAGGTGGARCATACACTATGACCTCACTTCTGGATTTATTTTGCACTACTTTTAACTTAGTAAGTAGCACCTTTATACTGAAAGTGATATTTATCATTACTTGAGCATGAAGAATTATGGAAAACAAGTTGCATTCCTCTCAATATCTTCACATGCTATGGGGATGAACAGCCAGCTAATTACAACCTCAATAAAAYACCCACATAAACATCTGAATCAATTTGAGAACAGATGTATGTCAGTGAAATTATTACATTTTCATTACCACATGTAGCAGAGGTCCTGACTGCCAACTTCTTTATTACCTTTGTTGGCCTGTTAAAAAGACAGGCACCTCCCCCACGAAGTAAAAATTCTTTGTATTCTGCAATGCTGCATTTGGAGAATTTCCTGGAATGGTATACCCTAAAATGGCAAAGAATTAGGTGAGTAAATGCCTTGAAACACCACCAGCTACTGAAAAGGGGCAAAGGGGGTCACAACATTTTTTAATACTGTAAATCCCAGTTTCTTACAACCACTGTGTCCAACTGTATGACAGCTCAGTCTTATTCTCCAACAATAAAACCAGAACAAAAAAAAAAATTCAAAAAATTTTGCTTTTTTATATTTCTACTTTGTGAATGTACAGTATATAAAACTGTAGCTTTAAAACTTTTTAATAAGGTAAATCCACATKATCATAGTAGCTGCTATGCACCCTTTCTATTGCATGCATAATCCAGGATCCTCTCAGGTTTGTTTTTACAAGATGTTACAGCAAGAAGTTTCACAGCTTAATACAGACAATCTGTCATATTTGCTAATCTCATTTCATGTCTCCCTAGTTCTTACACTGGAAGAAAGAGTAATCATTTGTTCATGATGTTATAGAGTTCTCTCATATTTCCCCAACTCTATCTTTTTCCCAGACTACTCAAAATGTACTTTATTAGTAATTTCTCACTCAGAAATTGATATGTATATTGTCATGTTTTGAGATCTAGAAATGGGATCTATTCACACTATTAAAGATTGGGGGAACCATGCTATAAGGAGGTTCTCCATTCCTTTCTTAACAGTTCACTGCTTTTTAGCTGCTATTTCCCCACTGAATTGTTCSATATAGAAAAAATGACACTGATGCAGTTAAGTGTAAAGACTTTAAAGTRCAGCTAATTATTCACTCATTAGTCAGCTTCTGGGTGACCATCCTCTRCTCCTGGCTTTTTTATTTACTGTTAACATTTTCTACTGAAGAGGCTTATTCTACAGCTTCTTCTRATATTTCCATCCAAGACCAATACTTTGATGAGTTCACCATGTGAAGGAAGCCACTATCTATTCCAATCAATGCTGATCTGGCCTTCCCTCAGATTCCAGAAGCAAATTTATGGAATATTTTTCTGCTGCATTCATACAGTGGCTGAGRGAAGCCACAAAGTAACTCTATTAAAGAACTGATTTCCAAATACCATATGAAGAARCTAAGATTCTTCTGTCTTACTTGAAACTGATTTTCTCCATGATTTTTGCAATCGAGTTTCCACAGTGTGCAAGATTCCGACAGGGAATTATTTATAAAACTCAAACCCCTATGTTTCAGAAGTTATCCTTTTCTAATCAATTGCTTACAGTATRGAGAATAAAATTTCTGGCAGTGTGAGAGTGTAGAGGGCAATGAAATTCCTCCCATATAGATGCTTTTCCCCCTCAGACTTCACTGACCATTTAGCTAAGGACTGAGTTCCCACTGTTTCTAGTTTTTCATTAATTAGAACTAAAACACACGGATAAAACCCAATACGTAAGTATTTCTGTCATAATATAAAGTATGAACTCCTTCCAAAGCCCTCAATTACTGATATTTATGACATACCCTGTTTCCTCCATGATGCAACCACCCCAGGATTCAGTGCAGTCACACTCTTCTCAGACAAGACCAAAATACAACAGAAAAGGAGAGAAGTTATAAATATGCTTACAATAAGTATAAAGTACTAATGATATAAATGGACCATAACTAATTATACAAAGATTTGGTGGTTGCTTGGCTGTATAAACTCCAGCCCCAAAAAGGAAACCAGTCCACTTGAAGATATACTAATACATTAAATAAATCTGGTACTTTCAGATTACCATATCTGCAGGCTCTTAGACTCAACACAAAATTTCAGGCAGTATAGAAAGCTGAAGATAGTTGGCAAGGTTCTTCCCTACATGCTTCCAAAATGGGCAGCACAAGCCTGTGTGCAGTACACATAACATTGATGATTTTAAATGTTCACATTTCCTGCTCCCTAAAAATACAAAATACCCTGAAAGATAATTGTAACKGGACAGGCCAGGCTTTTTCCCTTTGGTATAAAATTATTAACAGTAATATGTGAATCAGCCAATCAAACATTCATTCGAAAAAGTAGTTGAATGAAAATGGATTTACAGTTTACTTACAGCTATAGCATGTAAGTCAACTTTATTCTTAACATAAAGACAAAAGAATAACGCCTTATGGTTGGTAAAACAAAAGCTGCAAATTASCCACAAAAATTGTCTACCAAAGATAGATGTATTGTAGTTATCACTGGAAATCCAGAGTTTCTCCACAGAAAATATTCACAATTTATTTATATGGTTATTTCTACTCTCTCCAGGTCTTTCATTAATCTTTCTTTTTGCCCTTTTCATAAAGGGTCTCCAAATAAGGACACTAAGCTATCATATCAAACATCTCTATCCTTCAGTTTAAAAAAAATATTCTAATTTCCAAATTATATGAACTCTGTTTTATCTGTAATAAAAAACCAATGATTCAGAAGATATTTTACCAATTTGCTAGTTTATACAATTCAAAAACAATGCTTTACAAAACAATATTCCCTAAACATGGTTTCCTAATTCACAGATTTTTGAAGTGATTCCACAATAAWGTCACGATTATCATTCACAGTTTTAAAGAGAAAACAAAGAGAAAAAAATAGCCAAACTGCTTATGAAATGCAAATGAGAAACCAGACTATTTTCTTTAACCATGAAAGGGCTTTGCAGCAGCTTTTGTACCAACACTCTACATGTRTTAAGGCCACACAAATCTGGCCTGGCTGTGAAGCAGCAAGGTAACAAGTTAAGCAAATACCACACAGGACTAGATTATAGCTCCTTACCATTTTTTCAATTTTAAGTTAGGTATTTTTGCATTTTAAGAAGTCAATTATTGTTCCATTCAATTTACAGACTTCATTATGAGAGAAAAATAATTCTAAATTAAAATATGGTGTTTTTATCAATATACCTTGAAATATTGACTTTGAATCTAACCTCTCAATACAGGACATCACTGAGGTCATTCCAAAATGACACTAAACTTGCATCTCTTATTTTGCTGAAGCTCAAATTTTACTGCATATGTTTCCAAAAGCAGCAATTCTTGTTCTACAGTTACAGCAATTTTGGCATTTCTTTCAAACACAATAAAGGAAGTGTTTATGTATTTGGCTAAGGAAGACACAGGAAGACTCCATGTACATACTTGGTTTTCTGGCAGCTGGCTCCCATTGTATTCCAAGATTCTGAGCCAGACTTTGTGCTAGTTCCTGTGCCATGGGCAAAGGGAGGCCATACTGCATTCCAACAGGAGCACAATTACAAAAAAAAAACAAAAACCCATTAATTATTGCAATGAACATTACACTGGCTCATTCAGGCTTACCACATACCTACTACAATAATTCAGTACAGTCAATCACAATTCTCTGTGCATATAAAGGAAATAAACTCAATAAARTCTATAACAGACAAAAACACTCCTAACCTCAGGCAATCTCTCCCCTCAAATTAATCTAAAGTAAAAAATCTATTTGATATACATATAATACAGTTCTGCAATAATATGATTTAACTCATGTTAAAACAGAAGACTTTCATTATCAATTTAACACTGCACTGAGGAATAAATAACAACTGTGAAAAAATCAATACACAGGGACATGTTTTTTCTAATTACAATGTTAAAAAACTTCATGAAGRATTACATGTCATTGGTACCTCAGAAGATTAAGTGTATTACAGTGATAAGACAAAAAGATATTCACTGCTGTGTTTCAAATACTCCTGTCCAAGATTTTTTKGTCTAAATTTCTGTCAAATATATTAAAGGCCAATTTAAGTTCTTTWAAAGAAAATAATGTGGACAGGAGAAATGCTTTCTAAAAAGAAAAGCACTCCAAGCAGTAGTTTGATGATGACCAAGAAGRCTGGCTGTGAGAATCCTAACTTTTTAATATGTAAGTTTTCTTTAAAGACCTGAATACTKAAACATATAAACTCTTCAGATAATGAGATTCTATTTTATTGCATTTTAGTCATGAAGAAAAAATTACCTCATTCACTCCTACTCCTCTGGCCACAGAGCAAACCCCTCCAAAGTAACTTAAGCTGCTCCTTTTGTAATGAAATGTCACATTCCTTACAAACAAATAAAAATGAAGAAAATATAACACATTGACATTGGGCACCAAGAGCTTATTGAAAGTACATACTATGACAGATTGCATGTACACTCATCTTCTAGCATAAAAARCAACTGCAAGTTTACAAACAGAACACCAACATTGAAAGAGGTGATTATATACAAGCTTTGACAAAAATACTATTTTCATGTTGTAGAGTCAGAATCAGTCTTAACCCACAACAAACCAAGCACAGAAAGCTAGAGTGCCAGACTCCTAACACATTGTGATAACATTTTTTTTAAATGTTAGCAATATATTCCAGGTTATGATCAGTACAGAAGGAATTCTGTCTTGAAATGTATCAGTATTGAGAACTTTTTCAATTATGATCTTAATCCAAACCAATTTAAGTTCCAGTTTCAACTCCACATGAAAAGATGGAGAAGTGTACCTAAAGGGAAAGTCTGTTACCCTGCCTCCTTTAATTTATTGTTAATAATCCCCAAATAATTTAGTTAAGTAATGTAATCTGGAAGATCTAAATTATTCAATAAAATGCCTATAAATTACATGAATCATATCTACTTTAACTTCATAGTCATAATSATAAATCTAGAAAGCCTACAAACTACCTACAATGACTGTGAAGGATATGCAAATAAGCTCATCTTTGAAAACTATTGTGGTTGGGTTTTTTTTGGATTTTTTTTTGTGGAGTGACAGGATAGTCCATACTGGCACATACTTATTTTTCAGAACATTCTAGCAAGTATCAGAACTTTCAGACTGAAGTTTAACTAAACACTGACAGTCAGAGGCCTTACAGCAGACAGGACTGTAGTAAGGGCTGAGCCTGACAGGCACTTTTGGAAATGGTCTCGTTCATACCCCCAGCTCCAAGGAGGCTCAACTGGAGCACATCATATTCCACTGGCTTTGGAAAATCTCCAAGCATGGGCACTCCACAGTCTCTCTGTGCAACTTGTTCCAGCATCTGACCACCTTCACAGTGAAAGGGTTTTTTTTCCCTATGTTTAAATGGAATTTTCCTGTATTTCATTTTCTACTTGGTACCATTCACCATGAGAAGAKACTATTTGCCCTTGCTGGCAAGCTCTTCAGCAGGTGACACAGGCAGGAAAGTCACTAGGAGTGTCAGCAGCACTTTGCCTATATTACAAAGGACACAATCAGCATCGTATTGCAATGCCTGTATTAAGGAAATCTGGAGGAAATTCTTCATCCCCTCTTTTTATCTTCTCCTGCAGAAGATGAATTATAGGAGAATCCCATGGAAGACATTTGTCACTCCATCCTCATAGTATGTCATGCTGCTGGGAAATGGCTTAAGATCTTTATGCTGCACAGGGGAACACACAATTCCTCCTCTTTGCTTACAATACCATAAAATAATACTTGCTCAAGGCTGAAGTTGAGCATGGTGGTGCAAGTGGAATTTCCCCTCAAAATGCATTGTGTCTCAGAGAAGAATTCATTACAGCTCTAAAGGCTTCCATTAACAAATCATCACTGCAGGTACATGTGTAGATAAATATACTAACTGGAAAGCTCTTGTGGCAACATGTAATACTGTCAGCTCTGCCCTCTCCTGATCTTAGCTGGAAAAGCAGTATATTACACACCTCATTAGCAAAGCCAAGTATCCTTAGGGGCTCATCAGAAATGTCACAGTCTCCAGGTTGTAARGATATTCAAATGTCATTATAGAGATATATATATCTCAACATGACCATGGTATATATATTTTACTATTTACTATTAAAAACAGGCGTTAAATGTGGATCAAGCTTCCTAAGGAAGGCAGATGTTGCTTGATATAGAGAATACCAAGCAAAAAAGTAAGAAAGAAGAGACAMGTGGACAAAAGCAGTAGACAGGAARGGATATAAAACCAATATTCTAAGCCATTGCAAAGGGTACATACGAGAGGAGGTGCACAGCATCAGCGTGCTGCTTGATGTAGTGCTGCCGGTACTTGGAGAAATCGTGGAGCATCTGCAGAGGGTCAGGTTGAATATTAATGCGATCTCTGTCTGTCCAAGTTTCCACAGCAACAAGAACCACCCTGGTGTTCAGCTGTTCCTTGTATATCTGAGGGCAGAGACAGGACAGGCACAGGAGTAGAACACTGGGTCAGACATGCACAGTTAGCCAGTAAGAGTAAAGCGGAAGGACAAGAGGGATAAAGCAGGAGGAAAACATGGGGAAACAGTTAGCTGGTAATGCCTTGCATTTCCTAAAAGCTATCATTCTGATTGGCTTAAATTTCATGTTTTAGAATTAAAAAATCAACCCTTGCTGCTCTCTTTTTTTTTGAGCCACTTCATTTTCTTTAAAATTCTCATGTCAAATAATTTTGCCACTGAGTTTTGGAGAAAACCTGTACAAAAATTAGCAAAGAAGAAACATAAGGGTACATTGAGTGATCTCAAAGAAAAAGAAAAGAATGATCTCAAAGACAAAGAGTAGTCAAAGACACTTTTTAAGTTGAGATGAAATAATTATTCAGTTTTCCACTAATTCCAGAATTTAATTAGTATAATGCTTGAATTCCATTTATGTAGCATGAGCACTTATTTCCACTCAAGCAATGTGAGAATCAAGGAAAAATATAATATTTTTTCTATAGGTTTGAATGTTAGTAACAGATAAGAAAAAAACAGGCAATAATAACAAAAGCATTTTAAAATGTGCATTTTAACATTGTGCATGATACTTGATTCTGACATAAAACGACTGCTGTCTTAAGGTTCAGTTCAAAAAATTTTAATAACTAAAGTTATGCAGAACTTACAGATCTACAAAAGAGGCATTTCTTATTCAGTCTGATCAGAAATCCAGTTTTGTATCAGGGCAGCATTATCCTTATTAAAAAGTCAATGTATAAATACTTAGCTTAGAAAAGACCAATAAAAGAGCAAGAGATAACAACCAGCTAAACTCAGTTTTGTCCAAGACCTTTAAAGGAAGAATATTAGCATGCTTCCACTTAAGGGAGACAGGCTGAGAACATACACAGAAAATGGTTTATGACATGAGAAAAACCAATAAAATTAAACCCCCTGAAAGACAAAGGGGTGGATCAATAAGACTTTATTTCTGTTTGCTGAGAGGAAAACTGTATTTCCTGAAGCAAACAACAACAAAAGAATGGAAGAGGGGGCGGGAGAACCTGAAGGCCTCTGAAAGCCAACATCGTTTTCCCAATAATAAACCAGTAAGAAATACAGCCCAAATCCTATGGACACAAGGGAATAACAAGGCAGAAAATCCTGCTCCTTTTCATGCTTTATTTAAAGAAAAAGCCATTAAGAYGTCATTTTGTAAGATCTCGATGAGGGGCCTGAATTCTACACAAGAATGAAGCTCGATGCTTCTGCATATACACAGTGCAAATAAAAATAGAAAAAGAGACATAATAGGGAAAGAAGAGACAGATGAAATAACTTTTGTTAAAATGCATTAGAAAGACAAAGAAATAATGATCAGATGAGAAAAAAAAGATGTCACCTTTTCTTTGGGAATGTCCAACACAAACTGCAGAAATATTTCAATTAATTATACATTTTTATCWGCTCTACTACCTTTTCTTTAGGTTACTGACATTACAGAAAAATATTCCAAAACACTTCCAGTATTTCATGTATTATAAATATATTCACCTAAATTTTCAATATACATCCAGTATACTTTATAGGTAAGAAAAAGTACTGCACTGTTTCCTCTGAGCCAAACTGTTGACAATGTCTTGGACTGAATCATATCACACAGTTCCATTGGCATCAATAATTTCACATGGAAAAGAGACCCAGAGCCAGCATTTGGTAGCCTTTGTATTAATCACCATTAGAGGATCTATCCTGTTTTCCCTACAGTCAGACCTCTGAAATGTGCGATCATTATATGTGTATCAAAAAGAGGAAAAAAAACTAAATTAATTTTACCAGAAATATTACTTTTAGTTTATATCCTGTATGCAAAATTRTTTTATATTTAGTCACAGACACAGGTATGGTATCTGTGTCACTTCCACCCATTTATAATGTACTATAGTTGGATTTTGTTGGTTTTTAAGCTATAAATAAAGATTTATAAAGGACAAGTTTTTACTCAGACTCACCTTTTCTCCCAATAGATATACATATCCTTTGTGAATTTTACTTGCAGTTTCAATCACTTGTGGTTAGATTTGTTTCACAAATCTAAACTTGATTAAATCTCATTCTTAATTGGTGACAGATACTGACATCACCCCTGCCAAGGGCAAACTGACAGTTGCAGGCTTTGAGAAAAATGTCACTGATAATCTGGTAGTTTTTTATACATTCACCCCGGGCTATTATTCTGGAGAGGAGCTAAAAATGCAATTTCAAGTGTAATTGAAACCTGATATCTGAAAATGATAATATTTTTAATACAGATAAAAGTCAGTGAATCAGTTTTCAGAAAAAAACATTGATACTTACAGCATCTACAAGGTTTACCACAGACTTGGCAAAATTGTTTGTGTACGCAGTTGAAGAACGGTGCCTTTTGAACTGGAAGAAAAGAAAGTAGAACACAGTGAGAACTTAAATATTTATTACTAATTCTTTCTTTTTAAAGCATGAAAGGAAAATTAATATTTTAAGAAAGAGTAAGGAAAAACTCAAAAAACTTTTCCCATCACAGCCTGTATCTCATATTCAAGAATCCCTGGAAGAAAAATGAAGCCATGTATGTTAGGGAGCTTTTGCCAAATTGTAAAAGGAGCATTTAACCACAAGAAATATATTTAGAATGGGAGTTCAAATGTTTGAGACAAAATTACAGGTGAACCCGTAAACATAAGCTCAAAATTGAGAGGATATTGTACCCCTTRTAACTGCTTAATTCAATGAGTTGCATATCAGACTCCAGTAGACACATTCCATCACTTTAATTACATGACATGAAGCTGAAGCATTCACCACTTGTCYTGTGCTTTTTGCAAAGGCATCCTTTTCTACAATAGCACAAGACTTTTATGACATGTAGCAGTAGTTATATCAAAAGGCAAAATGGAAGAGGAAGTGCATGGTAAAAGTATGTTTGAACAAAAMCAGTCAAGCTGAATATCTTAAATTTTAACTTCATTTTAAAAATATTTTTATAGACTTAGATGAGCTGTGTTACAAGTTCTGCTTCCTAATGTCTGTGCATGYTATTACAATGGTTTCATGTCTTCTCAAATTTGTGATTTGCCTCACAAAACCCTTCTGTTCCAACTCAAATTTTTGAAAGATGCAACTATGGTATCTGAACATGAATCCATGACTTTGAAGAAACTGTAAAATTATAAACCAAGATTACATTACACAATATGAYATGCAGATAGGAAAAAGTCTTCAAAACTTCACAGAAAATGAACACAAAATTGTTTAGAAAAGGAAAAAATATCATTATCAAAAAAMCCTCTCATTAATTTCAGCTACTGGTTTAAAGCAACAAGTCGCATTGCCTCACAGTGTTCTATGAAAGTGTCAGCTATTGTCTCTATGAAACAAAATAAGACCTATGAATAAAAGGGTCTGACTCTCCTCTGAGCAGTTGAGTAGCTGCTCTCAGTTACAGTGCTAGGATATGCCTAGGATGTATCCTGAGAGGAGCACGTAATACCATTAAACTGTTCCCCAGAGAACAGTGGCAATGGGGAAGGGGGAAAGGGGAAAGGGTGCATTTGGCTTTTTGTTTTGAGCCAATCCCAAACCTTTCCAGAAGTGGAAAGGTAAAATAATATGCTTTGGAAAATGTTAACGGTTTTCATGAAAGTATTAAAATGCTAAAAGCAAATAGCAATATACCACATAATGTAGTTAAACACAGATCCTAAAAGAAATTAATCTCAATGAGTAAAAAGTACAACAACCTAATTAAATATGTTGAGAGTATCTTTAYTGCTAGAGGAAAGGAAATGTTGTGGAAGTACGTAGTATTAACCATTTAACACAATGGTCAAAGAGGTTTTAAGATACTTCTACCAACAAAGACCTTTGCTGCAGGCCCTCTCCTGGTAAGCAGAAAACCTTGAAAGTACATTTAGTGATCTGGACTGGCAGGCTRTGACTCTTAATTGTGAACACTTCCCTAAGAATACACATTTAATTCTTTGAAAAAAAATTATCTGCTTATAAATCACTGATAACTACAAAGTAAAATGTTTTGCAGTCTAAAGTTCTAACAAAGCATGAGARGAGACTAGAGTTAGTGTCTGTAACAAGTGTAGTGAACTCCTTTAAGCATGTSTGTAATTCAAGAGGCCAGAGGAAAGAGACAGGAATAATAGGAATTTTTTCTCTTCATAAGGAACACCAACCTTAGAAATCAAATAAGAAAACAAAATGCCCATAACTTCAGTTACTGTGCCCTACTGCTAAACAGCTAATACCTCAACATTCTTAGAGTAGTTTCCTACCAGGCTTTACAAATGAAAACAGCTCAAGAAATTTCTGTCCCACAATTTCCACTCATTCAAATTCTCTCCACATTGCTAAATTAACACAGATAAAATATAGGTTATTTCTGCCCAGATTAATTCTATGATTTATTAGACATGTGAGTGAAGGGTACATTATCTGTCTGTTCAGCCCTGAAACAAGTAGGAATTACTGCATCCTGTTCTGATACCTTCTATTTCTTGCTCTTAAATATCATCCTTCAGTGTTGACAAAAGAGCCCACAACCCCATAAAGCACTTTATGGAAACATGCAGCAGGGTGAGAGACATGAAAAGCTCTTTACTTGCAAATAAAATAAGTGAAAATTATTGTATCAGCAGAATTTGATTAAAAAAAAAAAAACCAACCAAACAAGTCTTGCTTACAACAAATGTCACTTAGTCTGACTCCAGTCATCCYTCAAGACAAATAGGTGAAAAACTTGGACTTTCCTCCTCCCAGCCATTTTGAGTTTTTTTCAACGACAAACACTTTCTGAATCAAACAACTTACTTTGCACTTCATTATGAATCCTGTTTATAAATATGGAATAGCCAGGAAGAACAATCAATATTTTGTCTATATGTTTTGTTACATTAAAATTAGTAAAACTAAACTAAAAGTAACAAATWCTGGCCCCTTTCTATTTTACTTTCAAGATAGGATGTAATTTTAGAACATTGAGTATGTTTGTTTTGTTCATAAATGTTTTGTTATTTTACTTTGTTCTATATTTGCATATTAATTTATCCATATGATACCAAAGTGTTCCAGATTCATTTTGAATAAATAATTGCCACAGAAAATCCTAAGTAACATTACACCTCATTAGGTATTATGGCCTACAGTGTGTCTTAGGGTATAAATGTTAATAGCTGCTGATAAAGGAAATCCTGGACCCAAAAGTAGCTGATGCAGCACAGGGCTGTACATCAGCCTATAAATTGTTACCAAAAGGAAGATTACCACTAAATTTATATACTTACCATTTTATGGTCATTGACTATCATGAGCTCCAGATATTTCATTTCTTCAAAGACACCACGAGATAACTGATGGATTAAAGAAATTCTCTGAGAAATCATGAAGACGAAGTGATATCCAAAAATAACTGCAGCTGATTTTTATTATATACACACATATTAAATATACATTGTGTRGGGTATGCAAACCTGGAAACAATTGGGTGAGAAAAGCAACTCAGGTAAAGAATCATAGCTTCAGTAACTTAGACACTGGCTGAGAAKCTGAGCCACATCATTAAAAATGTTCAGGTTCTACTTTTTGGGTCAGTGCAGACACCACCACTGCCCCCCTCCTCCTTTCTATRTGTACAATTCACCACAGATTTAATGAGAAGTTTCTGAAAACATGCACACTCAAAAATATRGTGTGGATTGTGCAACTCAGTGAAGAAATACAGATTAATCTTCTTTAACTCAATTATTCCCCTGATACATATGCATGTGAAGATCATGAGGACTGCCCACTTATGTTCTCTCAATAACCCAGTTCTGSGTGTCCTTGTTTGGATTTTTCATTCACTCATGCTACTTAATAAGCCAAATGACAGTGAAGTCAGATATCTACAAAGTGTCCAGAGTTCATTCAAAATGATTCTTTATTCTTAAGCAGACAAAAAAMCTTAAAATTCTAAAGTAATTTTCACTATTACATTTCCATTTAATTGATGCATAACATTGCACTTCAGAAAGTTTATCAAATTTCTTCCAAATATTCAGTTTTAAAAGAAAAATCTTGTTTTTTCATTTGATAATTATACTATGTGACAATATTAAGCTTCTAAAAATCCTTGTTTCCTAAAGCCTATGTTCTCTTGACATTAAAAAATACAGAAATTAGTGAATTTGGTTTTATAAATGGTTTTAACWTAGGGTCACACTTCTACTTACTGCTCTCTTTCTTCTTCTCCTCAGCCACTGCAGTTCAGACAGAAAGGGCCACTCAGAACTAGAGTCAATCTCTGTAAAAATTACAGTTTAAGAATTTCATGGCATTATTTTAAGCTGCTGTTGAAACCAAAACTAGATTAAGATCACCAAAATTAGAACCATCCTTGCTATTCAAAAACTCATTTTTTAGAATATATATATCAAAACTCAAGTAATTTAGAGATACTAGAAAGCATGCAAGGAGAGGTGGATAAATTGTGACCTGGGCTTAGAATGTTCATTTTCTTTTACCTCGTCACCTCAATAACATTAATACCACTGATACAATTCAATGATTTTCAGAGGAAAGTTAAATACAGGTCTGTGGCTGAAAATCTTACAGCTGTTTTTTGAAAAATCTAAATTCCATTGCAATAGTTGTGAAAAAAGTCAGGTTAGTATCCATTTTTCAAGATTTTTCTAAATAAACAACAATTTTATAAACACTAATATTCAAATTTTCCAAGTTATATATACATTTCCAATATTGACAAACTCATAACATAAGCAAAAACATACCAAGGTCCTGCAACTTGGAGGCTTGTGTTCCATAAGTTCTTTGGATGATATGTGGCCTACTTTGACTTTCCTGATAAGAAAAACACATGAAATTTTATTCTAATTAATAACATCAAGTAAAACATGTGGCATTTGTCTCTGTGTTTTTAATTTTTTTTCTATTAAATGCAAGCAATTGTGGTACTAATTTGGTATAGTACTATTGAAGCAATCTATCTGCAATCCTGAGCAAATCATAGAGCCTCTCTGCTTCAGCAAATTGACCAGTCTAAAACACTGGAGTGTCACAGATATCTTTAGGATTACCTTAAAAGAGTCCTTTAAAAGCTTTACTGTTAAAGAACACAGATCATTTATTCCAATAACTCAAATTAGAAAGTCTATATCTGGTTGAAATCTTCCTCCCACAGATGAAAAGCAACTATTATTACTTACAAAAAAAACCCTATCTAATGGCAGCAAATTGCAAGAAACCAATCAATATACTAKCCTAATGAGGATTATTTCACTCTCRTTTTATTGGTGTACACCACTCTTAAAAAGGACAAGATTTTTAATGCATATTTTCTTTAGAAGACTGACATAGCCCAAATGATCACATTTGAGTATCTATTCTAGAAAACAACTCTTTTCTTCCGTAACACCTCCTCTGCAGTGCCTGCCAAAACACTCAAAGGCTCTTTTCAAAGGGTAGGATGCTACTGTTCTGTAACTTCAGTAAGAAATACATAACACACTGAAGGACAATACTGCATATTTTTGCTGGATTTTGGGGGGAAGGAGAGAGAGTTTAATAGAGTATCCACTATAGTTAAGATTATTCAGCTGAATAAAGTACATGCTGAAGGCTGTGTTCAAGATACCTATCTCACATACTGCAATCCAAAAATGAGCCTCTGAAAGCTCTGTGTAGCTGTATTATTTTCAGTAGTTTTGAAAAAATTATGCATCTCATGTGTTCTCTTATAATTTACAATTCAACTTGAAACCTTGAATTGGCAAATGGTATCTTACCTTTACAACCAGAACTTTTGCTCTACTTACAACTTTTACTGAAATACCGCACAGAGAGATGTCCTCATTTCCTTTGCTCACCCAAGCAAGAAAAGAGTTTAGTCAAATTCACTTCTTCCTACTCTATGGATACCCTTGTATAAATATGATCWCCATGAATTTGCTGTGTCTGTGTTGTCAGCTTTTAGAATTACAACATTTATGAGCATGTGCTACATCAAACATAGACACACAGCATGTACTGTTGTTCCCAGGGAGACTGATTCTTTTGGATGTATTATTTCCAARTGTCTCTGAAATTTCATTTATGTCCAATAATTGGACATAATTGTGTCCAATTTATGTCCAATAATTGCCCAAATGATATCAAGCCCCCTGAATGTTGATCCAGTTTCTTGGACAGTATCAGTCAATGATTTTGCAGMTCTTTATTCAGACTTCAATTTCAGCTTTACAGTCACTGAAACATATTCAGTTCTGCATCATTGTTTGTCATTTACTSTACATATACTATCATATACATACTAGAGCAAGACAAGCTTGAGACCTGTGATATACCATCTGCAATATATCCTACAGACTAAGCAGGACACAAACCTAAAGAGTTCTCTGTCTCAATGTTGCAAAATAATTTCACTGAAAATCACTCAAAGATTTGAATCATTCAGAAGTTAGAAATACACCTAGTTCTACTACTGTCTGTGAAATTGTGTCAGGGATATTAACAGCTGAAGTTTTAGAAATGGTTGTACACATGAAACATGAAATTCAAAAACAGTAATTGCAAAATATTTGCATAGATGCAGCTCTGCATGCTGATCCAGCGTTACCTTGTATTTGAATATGCTGGATAATGAACATTTAAGATGTGCAATGACCACTGACTTAAGATATACAGTGCCCAGATGCAATTATCACTTAATTAAGCTTTTTCTAGAATCATGGTAGGCCAASAGCAATCTGATGCAACTATTTAGAGAGGAATGCATAAATGAGTTTTGGAGATCCCTTCAATGAATATATAAACACTTTAATTCAAGTACCAGAGTAAACTGATGAACACTTTTTAACAGTTCATAAGCATGTGCTATGGAAACAATTTTATTTGTCTACTCCCAGCATCTAAATGATCAACAGCAGGTAGAAAACAAAGAATTAAAGAAAAGCAGAGAAAAATCATAGGTAAATCATAATAACACATTTACTACCTTAAACAAATTTACACCAAGTGTTCTAAAATAYTTTTCATTTTCACATGAATGCGTGACACATATCATTCAATGATTTATTTTAATGCTGTTATTTGCAATTCCTTGAACACTCTCCGAAACCAAATAAACTAGACAAAAAAACTTACTGCAGTGTGGGTCAGATCCATCGGTTCTATCAAGTACAAGTRAGTACTATCTTCAAACATGCCACTAGAACATGGAGAAAAGGAAGTTATATTTAGGGTTACAAGGTGATCAGTTTGACTCCAGGATATGAGTTTTGATGAGACAAAACCAGACTAAGGGATGAGAAACTAATCAATATTAAATACATGTTCATTGCTACCACATGTAGCTAAAGCCAAGATTGGGGTTTTTAAGATATGTGGCACATTTTAATGGASTAACACTAAATGTAATGGCAATGCAATGATAAAGTACCAAAAGGAGTAAAGATTTGACCTCAGAAAGAGGAAGTCCTAGGACACACCTTATCATGCAAAATACAGTCAACAGCTTAGCAATATTAGCAATAACTAATGCTATTAAGGGCTAATTTCTTGCATTTTTTCCTTGTACAATCTAACAAAAAGAACCATTTTTCCTTTGGCTGACAGAATCATGCATGAATACTGAGCATGCAWACTGTTGAAACACAATTCTTGTTTATCCTTCACCACAATAAGTCATCTGGGGAAATATTTACTTACACTTACTATATTCAAAGGTTTYATGAGACAGTGTCAAAACACCAGTTCTAATGATGCTAAGAAAAATTGCTAGCAGTTTGGCATAGCTGGTACTGGCATTTCAAAACATACAAAAATCTTTGAGCTGTAGTGTTTCAGAACATGCACTTACTGAAGTCCATTACAAGTAGAAAGAGCAACTTTGGAATCCTGGACACCTCTGATACTTCCGTGGTAGTAACAATGCTCTCCCCCCTAATAATGTTTAAAAACAAAAAATCACACACACAAAATTATCCTCATTTAATGTCTTTTGCTCAAAACCAATGCAAGGAGAAAAAAAACCTAACAGTAACAATGCACATTTRCCTCATTTAAGTAGTCTTTACTGTCTATCAGCAGTAAGGTCAGCTAAACCACAAATAAAAAATATTCTTAAAAAATTTTATTAAAAACCCTGAAGTGTGGTTGTCTCTCACCCACTGTTTGACAAACCTACTATTCATCAYAAAAGTATTTTTAATTCTTTTGTCATGTCATCTGAACTCCAACATGCATATTGAACCCATTCTTTATGAGATTATTATAACTCAAGAAGGTAGGAAAAATGTAAATGATCTTTGTCTATCCATGAAAGCATTGTTTCCATTTTGCATCTTATTTAATGAGCTATTCAGATTCTGAACTAAAGTCATTAAAGGCTATTGTGTATAATTAAATCAAAGTACTACACAGAAAGCAATTAGTCAGTTCACCTTTCATCACTGAGAATGCATAAAACAGGCTTTTTAACAGCTTAATTGTGACTATATTTTTCACACAAAACTTTTCAAGTTTTTTTTTTTCTTTAAAGATGATCATCTGAGTAAAGAAATTGCTGTTTGTGCTTCATTCATTTTTGTAATTAACTACCTCTTTCTAGAAAATACAGTACTTTCCACTGAGATCTCACTTCTTTAGACCCACATCAGGAAACAAAATAACATTTTACTTAGGCCTAAAAAAGTATTATAAGACACAGCAAAAGACCAGGATACAATCCTTATTTGACCTCCTACACAAATTGTGTGGAATTTTGGGGTTGTTCTTTTGTTATCTATAATGAAAGGTTTTACAGATTAACGTGACCTCAGGAGCTCTATTATTGCTTCTAAATAAAACAAACCAGAAAACATCCCCTAGGAAGTTTGGATCAAGTTACTGCAGCATGCAAAGGTAGCCCATTTGCTGAGTCTGAAGTTCTAATATAATTTTCCAGTCAGATCCATGATTCAGCAACCGCAGTGCTCAATGCTAGTGCTGCACAATTGCATGAGCTTGTCTAAATGCCAGAGGGAATTGTTTTCTTGCATCATTTAGCATTTTTGCCTATTCTGCAGAATACTGAGTCTTAGTGAAACTATATCCTTTGTGCATTACATGAAATTATTTTTCTTCTTCAGTGGAAGAAAACAGAATGCCATATTTCAGGAATTACATTGCCRTGTAATTGTTTAATTCTGCCCTAATCTGTCATATATTATTTTATTTGAGATTCTCTGTAACAAAGGCAAAATAATAAACTAGACTTGGACAAACAACAGTCTGGGCTTTCTGAAGACATGCGTATAACCAGAATACTTGCTTGCCTCCACTCTAAATACAGATATAATTCACACATAATAAGTTTGCAAGAAATATTTTGTCATTTTTACCAAATATGAAAAAAGTAATTCCCCATAATATAATTTATAACCTTCCTAGGAAATTTCAAGTCCTCATTTTGTTACTACAAACAAACAAAAAGACTGATCTGGTTCCCATAGGGCTGAACTACCTTACAGAACTTTAATCTGGCTTTGGATCAATAGCCTACAGCACTGAATTCMGTTTGGGATCTAGTCTGACAAACATAATTAATTGGATGTCTAGCAATATGCTGATTTTGTAATAACTCCAGAGGTTAAAGTTTCAGTTAAATCTTTCATTTTCTATTTCACAACTGTATAAATCTTGCAAAGAAAGTCACTCCAAGATTTTTGGGTTTGTTTAAATGTCTTACATTACCATTATTCTTTCTCCTTGTACTTTGTGCTAAGGACATATAAATAATTGATGAAGATTAATCTGATGGTGACTTCCACCCCTCCATCTCCTATATTTTACAAKATATAATTGTTCTGGCAGCAATGGTTCATCTTCACTACTACCACCTACAAATGACTATTCCTCACCCCAAAACATAGCTTTCCTTTTTTTTTGTACAATTCCTCTTGTATTACTGAGATACTCTTACAAGATGAGATCACAGTTAACCTCTATGTGTGGAAAAACACTTCAGATATTTTGAAGTCTTGCTAAAACATTTTTTCTCTTTTTTTAACATTTTATTGGCATTGTTCCCTCAGAAAGATAAGAACACAATACCTTAGAAAATTTTGGTTTTCCATCTTCATAGTGAATCTCCACATAATTGGAAGATAACAAGTCACTGTCAAAGAAAGGATAAAAACAGATGAGAAAAATCTGAGTATTCTTTCTACTGATATGGGTAGGTTTGGGGATTTTTGTTAGCATTTTCAAACCATTTTTATTTTCCTTGTACATTAGGTCAGAAAAAATCAATCAGTTTCTGTTCAGTAAACAGTTTGATGGTACACTGGAAGTCAGTGTGTGGTACCAAAGGGRAAATTTCATTCTGCAATCTAATCTCCTCTATTTTATTGGATTACCAGCCTTCTAAATATGAAAAAAAATACCCCATGGTTTTAGAACTTTATTTGCTGACACTAAATGTACATTTAGTTCATCACCATTTTCAAATAAGTTTTCCGTTTTATCTAAAAGTGTAAATGGAGTGTATATAAGGCTGTACAAATAAATCTACCACAGTTGAAGACAAGAGTGTGTAATCACTTTCACAAACTGCAAATAATTATTTTTCCCAAAATAAATCAGTATTGTGCACTAAGAAAACCCACACAACATACAGTCCAAAACACACTCCATACTACTCCTTTCCTTACTTTCCTTTTTTATTTTCAGATACCTTTCTCATTCTTATTGTTTTGCCACAGTTAGGCAGAAAAATTTCTGAAGCATAAAGATTTCCCATACTGTAATCTGAAGCTCGGATTTCTTTTTTTTTTTTTTCCATAACTAAGATTAGCCAGCCTGTACATATTGTGTAATGACAACCTCAAAGCCCCATTCACATTTCACTGTGCTACAACCAGGGTTGCAGCATAGTGCCCAGGGTGAGCAAAGCAATTAAATATGTTAACTGGCCCCACCAAATAAACAAGACAAGCWTTTACTTAATATGATCCAGAATTCTTAGCATTTTTGAAGTCTGTAATATACAATAAGTACTTAAAAATATTAAAAATCATTAAATAGTCTAATAGTGATATAAATATCAAAACAAAATCATCATTGCTACAAATAAAACACATCATTATGGAAGWCTGGACTGGCAAAACAGCTCTGCTGGGAATTCATGACTAAAAACAACCTATGATAATGGGTATCTCAGATTAGGCTATTAGCAATCCTGATAATACTTTAAATCTGGGACTCCTGGCTCATTAAATCAATTCTTCATGCCACATTTATTAGGCAATGCTCTTGTTAGAGAGCAACTGGCAGAAGTCAGTTTAGCAGTAGTTCTCTTAAAAGTCCTTTGTTGTGAAACTGAGACCACACTGGGCACTCAAGGCCTGCAAACCAATGTTAATAACGCTCAATAATTACTGAAGTCTTCTAATTTGTCCTAAACATCCCTTTGAAGGCAATATTAAACATTTATATTTTAAACATATATATTTTTAAGTGTGGATTTTAAAATAAATTCAGCTGCATAAAATCATTTAAACTTTCTCTATTTGTATCGTAGAACAAAACTATAAACTTTATGCAGAAAACAAAAATGCTGCATAAATAGTATAAGTGACTACAGTGCAAGCATTCACTTCTTCAATGTGGCAAGATTTGAAGCTTCTAAAAAGGCAACAAACTTTAAAGTGTTGATAATGTCCTTTTATTCTTTGTATTTTTCATACCTAGTATGAAGCATAAAGACTACTGTTCTCTACTTGATGGGAATGGTACAGGCAAGGCTACAGGTAACTGACACATGTARGAATATTGAAAACTCTAATAACAAGTATTTTTAAAAAATCACTGGGAATGATTAAATGCAGGAACTGTGCTCAACATTATAGGGCCCTGACCAGATTTCAGCTTTTACAGACACTTCTGCTTTAATTCATGAAGAGCATTTGGGTTTCCTCAAACCAATTCCCAGATCAGCACTTATCTACCTGTTTCCAAATCAAGCTCACACTTTCACACCTCCTTTTTTGCCCTCTTCTTATGACTCACCTTATATGACTGATCTCAGACCTTCTTTCTATGCTATCCAGAGCTTTTTGCATTTCATAGGATTTGCAGTAAGTGATTTCCCACTGTGTGYACTGACTCACAGCTAACTGCAGTTTAATTACAGCATTTCTCTCAGATTTATCTTATTTTGTATGACATGAGAGCTGCTCAAAATTCCTTTTGCCTACCCTTTTGCAGAATCTTTCCAGAGCTTCATATTCTTGGATTTTGGTTGAGCTTCTATTGTCATCTGACAAGATTTTCCATTCTTTAGTTTCTCATTGTTTCCAACTGCCAAGTAATTCCCAATTCAGGTAGTGTCCAAATAGTGTTGCACATGATARGATATCTAACATGGAATACTTATGATGGAAAACTCCTATATATATATATATATGTGTACATATGTATTACAAGTACAAAGCAGGGATGCAGCAGACAAACTTTTCCAGTACACTCTACCCTTTCCTCATCACTGACTTTCCAGCATGTATTGGGGTCTGGGTGGCAAAGTTTTGGCAGGGGTGGGCTGTAGGAGTGGCTCTCTGAGAAGTTGATCCAGCAGAGCCAGTGTCAGCCAGCTCCAAGATGGACCTTTGGGATCTGCAGGACACAAGGCACATCAAAAGAACCCTCCATTCTGAACAAATTCCCTCCAAAGAAAAWTAAGGGCTGCTGTTCATGATATACGTATCAAATGCCATGCTATAAACAAAATGCACCTTTAATTTGTGAAGCATTTTTTTGCCAAATGTAACACAGTATCCACCACCTAGAAGGTGGAATAGAAAATCTTTTATAAGACTTAAYGGATTTCACAAAATTGTTTCTTGTGCAGGGCTAGAACAGGGTGTTTATCACTAGTTTCTAGTCATTATTATGTTTTTAAGCTTGCCACACAAAACCACCAAGGTTATATAAGGGCTTTTTTCTCTAAACATGTCTGTCAACAAGGACAGCAAGAATTTTGAACATTCCATTGCAAAAATGTAAAAAATACAGATAAAATTGCTACTGCAAATTTCCACTGCCAAGACTTTTACCTGTCATTAATACTAACAAATCTGATAAAAGAGGTAAGAAAATACTAAAGCAGAAGAAAAAAAAAAAAAAGAATGCTTAACCAAAATAACTTTCAAACATTTTTTTTCTACACAAAAGACATACACAGAAAAGCAATGTAATTTCACCAAAGGTGTGATGGGAYTATTTATGCAAGTGGCATTAAAAAGAAAGGCCTCGAATGCACTGATTAAGAGCTSATGTAGAAGTACAATTGCCTGAGGAGTGAGGCACACAACTCATGCATAAAGTAGTGGTCTCCACAGCACAGCACAAAATAACTCTTATTCCTTCATTATCATTTACARAATGCCTAAATTTACCTCTGAAAGGCAGACCTGAGTTTTAGAAAATACATTTGCATCTCATCTACTCTGGACTGTGTTTTGCCAYCTTTGATCCATTTTGAGTTATTTACATTTTACTTAGGACAGAAATGGATCCAGTACAGCAAATTTGTTTTTCAATATGACAAGCACCAGAAACAGTGCAAGCTTTAACTGAATCAAGTGTCAGTCAAGATCACATTGGAAAAAAAGTCTGTTTAGGTAGTGACATATTAGTATGAYCCCTTACAATAAACACATCAAATKGCAACATGTTTAATGAACCCATGACAAAATAGTTTGCCTGCTGTGTCCTCTTCTACAGTTCCTTCCACTCTGTTTGTGTTAGATAATTGTTCTTATTAAACTGGCCTGCTCCCTGGCTCTTCTATCAGTGTTACACTGAGAAATGCAAAATAAGCAGCAAAGGGATATGCCATTCCCTGTAGCTGCTGCATTTGAAGGCATAGGCCAGCTGTTAAAACAAGCAGCAGAWGCTTTCTGAAGAACTCACATGCACTTCCCTGGCACATACTTCACTGCTGATGTTTTCATTAGCAGGAGAGCTGCAGAGTAAAAACTGRCTTATTTCAGCTATCATCTAACTATCCTGATGAAGAGAATTGATTTGGTAGGAATAGGCTAAASTGACTAAAGGATATCTCACATACAAGTAAGCAAATTAGGTTCCAGGAACCTAGTAGACAGCCTGCAGAAAATCAGAGTACAGCAAGATTTACCTTTCTTGCATACTTCTTGCACACTTCTTACTTCTTTCTTGCATTACTACACAATTATAACCCATTACCGGTGTTGTGGGTTAAGGTTTCTCCTTTTGTTTCCTTTCTCGGGGAATTTTTCTTTCCCATTTTGTTGCTGGGATACACTGATTGCCAGGTCATCCTTTTGATGGCTGGGCGATTAGGGAAGACAACAGAACCTATGCTTCACTTCGTGCTGTGCTTGGCTCGGAGGAAGATGGTGGACCTGCTGCTGCAGAATCCAGCRTCTCTGGTTCCTGTTTGCTGCACTGTGATCTTCTGCCTCCCCCTCTGCCTTGCCTGGGACCCCTGAGATTCCAGCTGCAGTGGTCGAGTTCTGCTGCATCCYGCCTACAGCCGTGGGATTTTGCTCATTTTTTTGCCCATCTGGCCGTTCTGAGATTTCTTGCTGTCCAGAGGAGCACTGAGATTGGCATTTTTCCCCTGTGAGTTTGCAGAGGAACTTTTTCCCCATCCAGCTCTGCCGATTTGTATCCGCCATTGGCCACGCGGGAGATCTGAACCAGCCGGGACCCGCCCACAGCGCCCCCTGCAGCCACCGGGGAATCATCGCACCCGCCCTGCCCGGCCGGGAGCCAACAGCGCCCCTGCTGACTGGGACTGGAACTGCACCAAAGGGGAGGGTGTGTGTATCTCTGTGTGAGGCTGTCAATGGGTTTGGGACTGGGCTGGTTGTTGCTGTCGTTGTTGTTACTTGTTTTACCTTGTTATACATATTAGTAAAAACTGTTACTCCCTTTTACTAAAGTTCTTGCGTGAAAGCCCCTGATTTTCAAAGCTACAATAATTCGGAGGAAAGGGGGGGTCATATCCACCCCTCCAAGGGGGGTCCCTGCCTTCATTGGCAAGCACCTGTCTTTCAAAACCAAGACAATTGGGCAATAGTTTATTAAGCATTGCGAAATGTTCCAAGCTCAGTACCAGCATCTGAGAAACCT